TACATACATACATGCATATCACGCACAAATATACCTGAAGTTATATACCCCTATTGAAATGTTTTTACATATTTCCACTATTATATACATGCATGCATATATTATATATACACATATATATTTTCATTACATTTTAACCATTGCGACGACACAGTACTAGAGTGTGAACAGCGTTACGCAGCAAAGTGCATATTTTACACACAAGTGATGGCCAGAGTTGTTATGCTAGACAAGTGATGGACGACTATTTCCCTGATGGACGCATGTGTATTATGATCCTACACTTTCCTACGCTAGAGAGCTAGGCAGCAGCTAGAGACTACAGGCTGTGATCACATACGCATAATTTCCTACGCGGATTTCTAACAACTGCACAATAAAAATATTTGATCCAATATAAAACCTGGTTATATCATTTCATCTAAATCGATATGCCTTTAATAGCACACAATATTTTCAGTATGAATATAAATAGCCATATAAATTAATAGACTGATGGAAAGAAAGATTGATAATTTGCTAATGAGGTTTCGATTTCTAAATATATCAGTATTAACTTTTGTATATTATAATTACTAAAATTTACTGAATGCCCCCGTTTATAAATACACTCTTTGTAATCAACATTACCCTAGTGACGTTTGTCTAAATATAATAATGAAACCAGAGTGTACAGCCAAATATTTGACAGCCAATAATAAAATAAAATAGGTTATATTATGTGATATTATTTAATACAGAATATTAATTACTGCCAACACTCAGAGGGCCAACAAAAATTCACCAACCCGCGGACGTGAAAGCTTACAATACCGCCTAAGTTTCCGAAGAGAAATACAAATGAATATCCAATATTTTGCGTAGATATACGTGCGCGCATATTTCTCTGGTATGCCCTGTGCAGTGACACGCTTGTCGGCCACATGTATGTCGGGCGGCAGGCCAGCGGTGGGTATAGAGAATGTAGCGACGCTATATAGTAATACACACAGCGCATCCGCAATATGCTACACAGTATCACAAAGTCGAGCGAGTGTTACGTAAGCGGACGCATTCGCGTCGCAGTGACACATTCCGACAGACGAAGGCAGGATCGGTCACCGCTGGCGACCGCTGGTCAGAGCGGGGTAACCACAATATCGGCTGCCACGTACCTTCTCGATCTCCGATAAACCCACTTTGGCATTTGACCAGCTAGTTCGTGTCAAGAGATCAGAATCCGTGTAAATCTGGAACGCGTCCGTGCGGGTTGGCACCGTTGTCGAACCCTGAAAGCAGGAAAAACCGTGTGTATGGAATTTCCCATGGAGACCAAACAACATGGTGGCGAGCGTTAACGCAACACTGTAATGCAGCTGCCTGAGCGAAGTCACTTTCCCGGAAATACGGCGCTAGCGCACTGGAGATCGGCCGCTCTCACTAACCTGTGATGTTCTGAAAGCTGGATTAGACCAGCTCTCCATCGTTTTGCACACATAAAGGGCGTAAAATCACATGAAAACCACCAGAAAGTATCCCTGGATCACAACTACGAGTCACAGGCTGATGCATTTTTCTGCTACTGCAGTAGCGAGTCAAGCCCCGCCCCGCGGATGACGTTGCACGGCGCCTCGCGCCGCGATTGGTCGGCAGCGCTAACCCTGAAACATGAGCGAGTGTTGAGTTGGGGCATGCGGACCACACACAGACCGGCGTGTTGGGAAATAATAAATTACACAGGCCGGCTAAAAGTAGGACTTGTCAAATTATAGCTATATACCACGTCAATGCGTCTGCCAACTGCGCTCGTTTTCAATCTTATCCAACCGACTCGGTTACATGCCTCTATCAGCGAAGTCGCAGCAGGGAAAGATAAATTGACTTGAAAGGCTGTGAAATGTCCAGACGAAGTCATATGGTGGTGGTCGTGAAGGCCTGTAATCATGCAGGACCGCGGGAGTGACTACGCTACCTAATCCCGAACCGCCGCTTTTCACGCCTAGAACAATAAACAAGCGACGAAAAAGCAGCATCGTTGTCCTTTTTTTCGGTTTCTGTTATTCCACGAAAAAATCGCGCGCGCGTGTTTGTGCGCGCGGGCGTTGGAGATTCCGAAATGGGCTCCTTCGCTACAGTTCAATCGGCACCGTGCCCGTACGAAGCAGGAAAATACTCGCCAAACAAAAACAACAATAACAACAAAAACCTACAATTAACTACAGCAGAGTGCGGGGGTTGATAGAGCCGCGAACACTTTTTCAGTGCATTTTCTGCTACGGAACATTCTACGTAAATTATTCGCATATGAACACGAATCGAATTAATCATCAATTATGACGATGTAAACGATACGTGACTTGGTTTCTCAATCAATGCAGTATAATTCGAAAACATGGCGTTCGATGGATTCCCATTAGAAGCTACTACGGGGAAACGTTGCGTAGAGTGGGCTGGCGGTGGCGGTGGTGGCGGTGGGGGTGGTAGGGGGTGAATTCGCTGCATCGCGGCTTGACATTCCTGCGTTAATAATGTGAAATGTACATCATGGGGCTATCATGTACATCATGTACAGCTCGCGTCGTCTTGCGTCTCGCTCTCGTCGCCACATTTTTTGCCGCTGCCACCCTTCCTAGTGATGTAAAGATACACGATCTTCATCTCATCTGCTCTCTCTCTTAACTATGTATTTCCTCTCTCATCATCTTCTGCTCTTTCTCTCATCTTCTCTCTCTCCGGCCTTTGTTCTTATTTTTTCTTTGTAAAATTCTCTCTCTCTGCTCATTTCGTCTTCTACTCTCTTCTCTCATCTCTCTCTTCTCAGCTTCTCTCTCTCTCTTCTCTCTCTCTCTCTCTCTCTCTTCTCTCCTCGCTCTTCTCTCTCTTCTCTCTCTCTCTCTCTCTCTCTCGTCTCTTGTCTCTCTTCTCTCTCTTCTCTCTCTCTTCTCTCTCTCTCTCGTCTCTCTCTCTCTCTCTCTCGCTATTCTGCTTCCCGACGTCAAGGACACTGCACGTTATTCCGAGTTTTGTTGTACGAATGTAAATAATATATATATATAATATTATATATATATATATATATATATATACGTGTTTGTATTAGTCGTAAGAGATTAGATGAGGAAAAACGAAGCAAAGAAGAGGAGGGCCCGGAAGATATAGGTAAAGAAAGCTGACAGAGAGAGAGAGAGAGAGAGAGAGAGAGAGAGAGAGAGAGAGAGAGAGCGCGCGCGAGAGAGAGAGAGAGAGAGCGAGCGCGCGCAGAGAGCCTTGCTCGGCTGCGGTTTCGCGTCTTGGGTGGCCCGAGCGTCAACCAGCGAGCAGCCCCGCACGTTGCGCCCTCTGGTGCGACATCGCAGAACACACGGACGGGTATTATCTTGTGGGTTCATCGCTATCTGCAGCCGAAATCTACGTATGCGTGCTGTACATGTTTCTCTCAATGCTATGCTCCGCCCAGTGTGTGCGCGCTGATGTGCGCGTACACGCACGAGCACACGCACGCCTCCACTCCCAAACCTGATTGAATTTAATGACGGCAAGTACTGGTGACGCCGCAATAATCGCTGTGTATTATTTTACTTTTGGCATAGTGATCGCCTCGGACAGCAGGACCGGTATCGTCGTGTACATGCATGATTGTAGTAAGCTACGCGCTGAGGCATGCACGCCCCATCGTAAAACACCGCGCGTTCACACAACAATGTGCCGCATTTCATTGAATGCGTTGGAATGTTTTCCCGTAACGGTTATACGTTGTTTTCTTGACACATGCGTGTGTTATGTGTATTATGTGTATTATGTGTATTATGTGTATTATTTGTATTATTTGTATTACATGTATTATGTGTATTATGTGCGGATGCGCAATTTTCGCGTGCGTGCGTGGCTGTACGTGCGTGCGAGCGCGCGCGTGCGTGCACGTGCGTACGTTTGCGTTCGGATATTCGTCTACTTCTTGCGTTCGTTCGCTTGTTCGTATACGCGCGCGCAGTTACGGGTGCCTTACGCAGTACGTGCGCCTGAGCGAGTGCCTACCTGCGAATATTTACCTATAATATGTGCCGATGCATATTTGTGTGCATGAACGAACAATACAACTATGTATTCACGCATTGCAAGTATGCAAGCATGTAGATGCATTTAAATGTAACGAGCAACCCGTTTTTCAGTTCTTAAAACAAGGTGACGAGCGTAGAGCGACATCTGTCGGCAGCAACAGCAACAGCAGCAGTAGCAGCAGCACTAGAACCAGGAACAACAGCAGCGACAGTAGCAGTAGCAACAGTAGCAGTAGCAACAGCAGCAGCAGCAGCAGCAGCGGCGGCAGCGATGACAGCGCAGAAGTTCGGCGGCCGATACCACGGCGACGGCGCAAACACACACACACGAGCACGCATGCACGCACGCACGCACGCACGCACGCACGCACACAACGCACGCACACACACACACACACCCCACACACACAGCACACACACCGGTCCGACCTGCCAGGCTGTCAATGCAGTAAAGCAGGCATTCCGCCTCGTTCATACGGTGCATCCTTTCACTCACTAACCCCCGCCCCCGCCACCCCACCCCCATCACCACCACACGTAGCGAGCCATTATGGCCAGCCTACATAGAACGTACGGCGTCGGCAGCAAGCAACACGACTGTGTGGCCTACCTATCTCCTCTCTCTCTCCTCTCTCTCTCTCTCGTCTCTCTCTCTCTCTCTCTCTCTCTCTCTCTCTCTCTCTCTCTCTCTCTCTCTCTCTCTCTCTCTCTTCTCTCCTCTGCTCTCTCTTCTCTCTCTCTCTCTCTCTCTCTCTCTATCTATCTATCTATCTTATCTATCTTCAACCGCTCATCTCTCGCTCTTTCTATATATATATATATATATATATATATATAAGGCCCTATATATATATCTCTCTTCTTGCTCTCTCTTTCTCTCTTTCTCTCTCTTTCTCTCTCTCTCTCTTTCTTCTTTCTCGTTCTTTCGTTTTCTCTCTCTCTCGCTCTCTTTTTTCTTTCTCTCCCCCTTTCTCTCTCTTTCTCTCACCCCTCGCACTCTGCCTCTTTCGGTCCTATATCTCTCGACCCTGCTCTTCCCTGCCGCCTATACGTCTCAACTCTTCCAGCTGTGCCTTCCCGACGTTTCCCATAAATATCCCAGTAGCATCACGTGGGACACAGGAAACTTGCTGTGTGTGTGTGTGAGAGAGAGAGGGTTGAGATGACACGAGGAGCGGATGTGTGTCAGTAGGGCGAAACAATGCTCGTACATGATGGCTGGTACGCGCAGACCACACAAAGCTGTGTGTGTGTATGTGCCTGCCATACACATGTACCCACACAATGCACGTACCCACGTTTACATGCATGTATCCGTGTTTAGACGCATGTATCCGTGTGTAGACGCATGTATCTATGTATGTGAATGCATGTATTCGTGTTTACATGCATGTATCCGTGTGTAGACGCATGTAACCGTGTGTAGACACATGTATCCGTGTGTAGACACATATATCTATGTATGTGGATGCATGTATCGATGCGTGCAGACATGAATCTCTGTGTGTAAACATATTTATGTGTAGATGAGTGTATCTATGCATAAATGCGTGTATCTATGCTCAAAGGCATGTGTAAGAGCAAGTATCCGTGTGTAGCAACATGCATCTATATTGTAGAGGCGTGTATCTAGGCGCAAAAACGGCGCGCGTGTATCTATGGTTGAGCGAATGTATCTGTGGTTGAGGGAATGTATCTATGGTTGAGGGAATGTATCTGTGGTTGAGCGAATGTATCTATGGTCGAGGGAATGTATCTATGGTTGAGGGAATGTATTTGTGGTTGAGGGAATGTATCTATGCATATATAGACGCACATGTAATCCTCAGAGAAACATGTGAAATCCCCTCGGACGCTGTCCAGGAGCGCAGTCCATCTCTAGCCAGGTCCGGCAGATTTATTTTGCAGCGCCAGACACAGCTCTAGCGACCAAATATTTATTATGCTCTTAAAAGATGGTTTCAGCGTGCTCACTGCGGTTGTTGGGGCAGGCAAATGGTGACACCGATACCTACTTTAATACACAGCTTCTGTGCTAGTACGGGAGGCACGAATTTTATAATACGATGGCACTGTTTAGTTTACAGATTCGCCATCCTCGCGAATACGCATATTAGACTAAATAGGCTTCCCCTAGAGGCAGTAATGTGGCTGGAAATGTTTCATTCACTAATGCAGCGTATGGCTGGTGTCATATGCTTCACATGTGAATGATTGTCTACACACTTTTGTGGAGGTTACACCTGGCGCCACCACGTGGGCAATAGGTGGCTCCCTCAAGTGGCACTAACACTCGCACCAGCGCAGTCTATATTATGGCACAATCAGTATGGCCGCACTAAATGTGCTCGTGTAAGCAATTCAAACTGACATCCGCGCCGCCCATGCCAGAGCGTCTACTTACCTTCTACCGCATAGTGAAATTGAATTGTCTGTGCTCCATTCGTGGCGACTTGAGTCCTACGCAGAACTGTCGACAGTAAAAGTAGTCCCCACAAATAACACTTTGCCTGCGTGCT